TACACATTATTTTGGTGATCCATTTTTATCCATAAGTTATCAGTAACCATCACTGTTTCGGTGAGTAGACATGGTGAACTTAGCACGGCACCGCTAATTGTCGGTATCGACGGTACTAAGTTACATATACACCAAGCTGGACACACGCAAGTCCTTCTTTTGTAATAGATTTGTCGAAACTTGGAATGCTCCACCCTTGACTGTTGTTATGTCCGCTTCCGTTGAGGTCTGTTAGCGGAAGTTATATGGCTATACCAATGCCCACTCTGACACTAGCCAAGTTCTGTGGTCTTAGCACAGGCAGAAAATATCGTATTAATATAGTGTTACTTTCTACATTTAAGTAACACTTATGTATGAAAGTTTGAAAGTTCTGCCAAACCGTGCGAATAGCCCATCACTTAGATAAACCCAGGACTCGAAGGCTTTCATCATGGGGTGTAATGCCAAACACCCTGGCTGAGGTCAGACATGAGTTGCAGGATGTGAATTTTAAGCAACAAATTTCGATCTAAGCATCTTTCGTCCGTACTGTGCGGATATCTGCGAGTATTCCTTATTTGAGCTAAAAGACGCGTCGGCACGAGCATACTTCTTATCAAATTCCGACCAGTTCACGTTAATTGTGGTATTTTCCGTGCGTATTTCAGTCACGCCTGCGATCCTCCCTCCTACTCTCAATACTCAGCCAAGCCATTGAAGAGGAGAAAGCTGAAGCCGTGCGAGCCGCGGCCATCCGATCTCTCGCATGTGCAGTCACTCTAATGGAAGATCCGGATAAGCTGGGCCAGCTGGCGTGTACACTGGAACGCATCCTGAAACAACACCCACCGAATGAGAACACCCTCGTTGGACTGCCCGACTTCCGTCTTCAAAATTCTTCTGGGGCTGTTAGTGCGTCTTTGGAGGTGTGGAAGGCAGGCGATGGAGTTCTTGGCGAACAGAATGGCTTTGAGGTGACATGCGACTGGTTGCTCCCCGCTGTAGCCCAGTGGTGTTTGGAGGAGGACAAACTGAATGATCTTCTCGTAGGACCATGGCTTGATCGCCTGAATTCGCTCGGTCTGGTAAGTACTCTCTCTGTAAGCCCTCTTATACTGAAGCTCGGATCAGCCAAGATAAAGTAATTTTT